GACTGTTATCTATTTTGCCCTGGGCCCCGCAAATTCTAGCGCCGTCCCTGGGTATGTCGATTGTTTATGACAATGTCGTTACATACATAATAATGTAAGTAATAATAAGTAAACATGAAAAGACTACAATAAATTCAATACATTTTAATTTCTTAAAACATACATGTTATGTAATATTATGCCTCGGGGGGCACCGTTCGGACCTTATTCGCCTTCCCCGCTAGATTTATAAGCCGCGCGCGGCCGTACTTTTTTCCCGTCGGCAGCGCCGTCGCCGAAATCGAGTGCGTCGAGCGCGTTTTTTGTCGTTTTTTTTTGAAAATTCGAGTTTTAGGCGTTTTAGGGCGTATCGACCTCCCCGTTTGGATCTTAGCGCGCGGCCCTACTTTTTCAAAAACGAGTCCCGGGAGGAGCGGCGTCGCTTAAACGAGAGTAGGTAGGTACCGAGTAGGTACCGCTATATACAGGCATAAATACGTGCGTCTCGAGGTTCGATTTTTTTGCAAAACTCGCGTATTATACGTCCGAGGGCGGCGGAGCCGGTCGTCCGCTCGCCGAAGAGGTCGGATCGCGCGCTCAAACGCCCTTTGACGGCCTTCCAAACGGCGTTCGCCTTTCGCGGGGACGGCGACGCGGCTTAAGAGTCATAGATTTGACTCCTAATTTTATCTCGGTAGGTGGCTAGGTAGGTTAAGCGTCAGAACAGGTCACCCGACCGTCGTGGTTACGAACCCGGCGGCCGATTTAAATTGAAATTATTTTTTTTTCGTCACATTTATCATTTTTAACGAAAGTGTTAATTTTTTTTTTTAATTTGCATTATTATATTATATTTATTATTATTATTCGTTTGACGATATTTATTGGGCAAAAAAATTATTATAATTAACATTTAATTAATACTTGATTTTACCGACGCACCTACATGTTTCTTTTATAAATACATTATAATATAACTAACCTACGTGTAGTACCTACTTGATAAATTACAGTTTTTACGTGATTCCGATTTGGTTAAATACTGCTACAGATTATAAATACTATATTAAAAAATAGTACGGCTATATGACTGCTCCATTTGCCGTTTTTTTTCGAAAATTCGAGTCCCAGGGTGGAGTAGTGTGTCGGAAACGAGAGTAGGTACCGTGTAGGTATCGCTATATACATACATATATACATGCGCCTCGAGGTTCGATTTTTTTCGCAAATCTCACGTTTTGAAGCTGGCGGACACGGTCCTCCGCTCAAACGCCCCTTTGTCGGACGCACAATCCGTGTTCGCCATTCGAGGGGACGGCGACGCGGCTTAAGAGACATAGATGTGACTTTAATTTTCATCTCAGTAGGTGGCTAGGTAGATTAAGCGTTAGGATAGGTGACTCGAGGGTCGTGGTTTCGATCCCGGCCGCCGGGAATATCGATATTTTGCGGCGGCCGTGAGAAATTGGATTTCTTTTTTTCGCGTTTTTTTTTCGTCATAAATAATATGATTAACGGAAATGTTCCATTTTTTTCAAAATTCGAGTTTTACCACCTTTACGCACATCGTTAGGATTTCGCCCGTTATTTCCGTAATAGATATATATTTTATGCGATTTTTAATAGATTAATATTTATTACATTTTCATAATGATGTGTAGGTACTGCGTTATGATACATGTCCTATGTGCACACATGTTATATTTATTTATTTATTTATTTGTTAACGGGCTGGGCCCTATTCAACAGTTTAACATAATACAATAATTATTACAACAATATTATAGGTATTGTTGTGTTATTGTGTAGGTATGTGTTTATGCATGCGTGTGTAATATTAATTGTCAATTATTACGATTTAGGAGTGACACTGCGCGCGATACTGTCTACGTACGAACGTTACTATACATTTATACGCTACGGTTAAATTATACGCGCGGATGTGATGGAGTGGTGCTGCCGTCGAGTAGGGTAGGTTAGGTTAGGTTAGGTTACCTCCTGTAGGTCGGCATAGTCCTACCCCCACCTCCACGCGGTGCCGACTGGAAACGGAATTCCGGTTCCGGCTAACGGGGGAGGCACAGAAGGCAAACTGTATAAAACCGAACACCGGCGGGTCAACACCAGCGACCAGAGAGGGCCAACATCGCCCTCCAACTACCGACCACACGGACCGAAGGCTTGATGCACAGACGACCGGGAAGGTTAGACGGGGACCCAGAGGTTAGTAAACTAAGCGCACAGTACCATTATCCGAAACTGCCCCGCAGCGGCAGGCGTGCCCCGGGGCATTAGTAGGACGCCCACAGCACGATTCGTCACCGTCCGGGTGATCGCGATTGATGGGAAAGGCCGCTAGTCAGAACGCCTCAAGAATCCGCCGACCGGTCATCCAAGCACCGAGCAGCACGACTAAAGAACAAACGAAGTTACCAGAAGGAAAACTGAACAAACCCACACCGGCGGTCCACGACCGGAGAGGGCCAACATCGCCCCCATCCGACACCAACAACAGCCGAGGACGGATTCCGGGAGACGAGCGGAAAGCAGCAGAACAACGGTGTAACTCTCTACACCCCGAAAACTCAGCGAAACTGCCGACAGCGGTTCGAGGGCCCGCTGCGCAGGAGTAGAACACCCACAGCACGACTAGTCATCGTCAGGGTGGCTGAGGAAGTAGGGGCTGCAGATGCAGACACCACGCGACGCAGCGATTCAATCGGATCCCGGAACGACGACAGTACACAACGACGGAGACAGAAGGAAAACTGGAAAACCAACAACGGCGAGGACCACCCTCCAGAACATCACAAGGAGAAGGAAGCTCAGTACGAGACTCGAGGCCGGCTGGCTATCAAGCCGGGCCAAGAACATATGAACATGACTTTCCGACTGGCGGGCACCAAAGCCGGGTCGGGAAGTCAAGAAATGCGAACAGCGGGCCTTAAGCCAACATGTAATCTTTTTTTTATTAATAAAATGTACGAATAATAGTTTCAATGTGCACCCACTAAGGGACTAATCAATGGTGTAAAAAATTAAATTATAAATGTACTACAAATGTATTTTTAAATTTAATAAACGATGGCGGCGTCGCGGAAGTAATGCGAAAGCTGTTCCCGCGACGCCGTCGGTTCAAAACTGGAAAAAAAAAAAAAAAAAAAAGTTACCTCCTGTATGCTTTTTCAGATTTGAACGGCCGTTTCGAGCACTTTTCGCTGTAGGCGGATTGTCCGTTCGGGAATCGACTTTCACCCGAGATGACTGATAGCTAGACACTCAAACTCAGATAACCCGAATTTCCGATTTCAACACACATACGAGAACCGGACATACACGCTAGGGGTATATCAATCGTAATAAAATATTATAATCCGCCTGAATAACTATTTTTAGATTGCGTGATTTACTAGCTTATCTTTATTTTATTATAACACAAAACGACTTAATGTAAGAAATCGCGCAGTCCTGGTGACATATCGCGTATATTATACATACTATTATTTATAATTCGTGGTTCACACCATAAATTCGTTTTCGTTATGTTAATGTCTCGGTTGCCCGGCGCACCACTCCTCCACTGTATATAATATTATATCTATATAGGTAGTTATTATTTAGGTACCCAAAAACAAATATTGGTATTAGAAAACAATAATATTAAATTATTAGGCTAAATTTGCAGTTAATAAAATACTAATTGGCGTTTGTAAAATATAAAATATTTTTAATTAATTTTAAAGTATACATACAATTGGTTTATAAAAAAAATGTCAAATACTAGTAAATGATATGTGATAAGTAGTATAAAATAGACAATTCAAACACACAATGGAGCTGATCCGCTGATCCCTGCTGATCCGCTGATCCCTGCTGAACCGCTGATCCCTGATGATCAGCTGATCCCTGATGATCAGCTGATCCGCTGATCCCTGCTGAGCCCGCCGCCCGGTCGTGCACGTGCGCGAGATATATATTATCACTTATCATTATTACCGTTATCAGTTATCACTTATCATATATATTATATCCGCGCTAAACGTGTACAATTATATGACGGGAAAAAAAACTACAAAATAATTGATCGGGTTTCGAACCCTCGACCCCCATCTTATAACGATGACGCTTTAACCCACTAGGCCACATGACCACTTATAGTCTTAGCGTTATTTTCACTCATTTAACTAGATAAATATAAAATATTATGTATAGTATACAAATTTATAACATAGTGTAATCATAATAATATCTTTCGGCACATAGTTAACATCAACCACCATAATTTACCGTTATAAGTATATACCTTTGATGGTAATTTCTAAGAATTTTTAGTCCTTTGGCGGCATATACCCTTTTTGTCATTGGATTTGACCGATTTCTATATAGGCGGGTTTTTTTATAATAAAACGCTAATGACGCGTATAAGATCCGCGGGGAGCGCTGACGGCACTCCGCGTTTCTTCCATGACGACCAATGACAATACTTCCCGTGCGTTCGCTATTTCGCTCGCACTTATCGACGAATATTTTCGAACATTATTATTATTATTATTATTCCGTATTTCTATATATTATATAATATAAAATAATATAATTTGTGATATATAACGCACAATTCAGTTTTTGAAATCTTCTAAAATGTTATGTACGCTTTAATAAATTGTAAAATATGTTATTATTTGAATTTTATTTTTATTATATCGTACCTACTATGCAAATTAAGTCGATTCCGGTCGTTGTGGTGGAAGCCGCAATTAATCAGCATTTCAATAATATATTAAAAATATATAAGTAGTTTGAATAGATAGACATTTTTCATGAGTATTGCAGTACATTTAACTATTGTACCTAAGAGTTTTAGTAGGACCTTGGTATGTTGTTACATACATAATAATGTAAGTTATAATACATACACATGATAAGACTACAATAAATTCAATACATTTCAATTTCTTAAAATATATACATGTTATTTTATGTAATATTATTATTATATTATATATACTAATTGTTCGGTGCGTATGCCCGGTCTTGGACTTTGCCCCGCGTTATCGCCATTACTGTGGACACCGCGCGACAGTTCCGATATCTCCGGAGAGAGAAGCGTTATCGGTGTGTCGCCGACGGTCTCTTCCCCGCTGCATGCAGTCCGACGCAGTGCCTCTTGTCGCGAAGTCACCGTTCCTGCCGCTTTTTCTCAGCCGTCTTGGCAATCATCGTATTATTGTTACCTACGCGAACTGGCGTGCCGTCGTCGTTCAATAACGCACGCCATCTTGGCTTGTCCAAGCGCCCTAGCTGTCTGTGCTTTCTGTTCCGTGTCGTGCCCCTCGTTGCACACACAAATCGCGTTTTGTAGCCGCCCGTGCCAAAACCTCATTGTGTCTTAAGTTGCCGTTATTGTCCGCGCGGTGTGTCCGCAGTGCGATCCGCCGTGTTCGTCACGTGGTTACGAGCCTTCCCGTTCGTCGACTGTTTGTTCGTCCAAGTCGACGTTGTGGTGTGTCGCTGCAACGCGGTCAACTTCCAGCTGCCCATTATCGTCGTGCCGGGACAACGGTAGCACCATCAGTTGTCACTTGTCAATACCCGCTATCAGCTGCAGTATCGTCGCTATCAGGTCGTACACAGCTGATTTCATTTGTTTATGTTCTTCCGTTACCCGACGTGGTATTATGATTTATATCAATTTTTTTGTACATTTATTATTTGTTTCTTTTTTGTCCCTCTGTATTGGCGACCGCTTGTGGTTGGCCCCCACCTACTACTAACATAGTTTGTAAGCATCTTCACCTGTTAGCAACGTTTTAATATATTCGTCATATTCCGTGATAATTTTCATACAACAACAACGTTATTGTTATTTCTCTCGCTGTAGTTTTCCGTCATCCATTTTTCTATTTACCTACCTATTACAGTCCACTACCATCGCACGACAATTACCATAATCCGGGAGCGGGCAATACCTGACGATCATATTTTTAATTCAGGTTGTCTCTCCATACACTAATATATTGTTAATTACTTCAATTCATACCTTATACCTGTACCAACCTTTACATTGGGCTACACATATTAATTTTTTGCAATATTTCAAACAAATTTCAAAACAAGAAAACTACATATACATATTATATATATATTTTAAAATTATAATAAATTGAATTTAAATTCCTCCAATGCTTAAAATATTGTAATATTTTTATTATGTCGCTGGTATGCACAAATGTATTGTACATGATTTATATTAATAAATACATAAGTATAATTTATATTCTACTTTTTTAAACTTTATTATATATATATTTATTTATGATTGTGTTTAATGTTATGTACATTAAAATTTAAACTTTATTGTGTTTAAAATGTATGTAGTAAAAAATGTAGTAGGTAACTAATAAGTAATTTTTTTTTTTTTACTTTAGTACGACCATACATGTTGCCTTCAGTATTATATTCAATAACCCATATGTGAAACGCAAAATTCAGAAATGGTTCAAGTGCTTGAGATTCAAATATTCAAAAAATGTTTTTTGCATTTCTTTTTTCAACATTTTTTCTTTGCATTATACCATCATATTAATCTATTAAATTATTATATGCATATCTATAGATATCCTTTGCAATGTAATAATTATTTAATTTGATAATTTAAAAATTAACCTACCTAAGCAAATGTAATGTACAATAAATATAGGTACATTACCAAGTTTAATTCCTTCAATTCATACCTTATACCTGTACTAACCTTTACATTGGGTTACACACATTAATTTTTTGCAATATTTCAAAACAAGAAAACTACATATATACATTATTATGTGTTATAAAATTATAATAAATTGAATTTAAATTCCTCCAATGCTTAAAATATTGTAATATTTTTATTATGTAGTTGGTATGCAAAAATGTATTATACATGATTTATACATATTATTGTATTAATAAATACATAAGTTTCATTTATATTCTACTTTAAAATATTCTATTGAATATTCTATTCAAAATTTTTTCTTTGCATTATACTACCATATTATTATATGCATAAAAATAGATATCGTTTTCAATGTAATTATTATTTAATTTAATAATTTAAAAATTTACCTACCTAAGCAAGTCTAATGTACAATTAAATATAGGTAGGTACATTAGACTGTTATGAGAATGCACATACTTTCATTATCATTTAAAATATGTATATCAATAATATTAAAAATATATATATATATATAAGTAGTTTGAATGCACAAATTTGATAGACATTTTGCAGTACATTTATTTGAAAGCTTAGAGTTTTATTAGGAGATTGGTGTGTCGATTGTTAAGACAATGTCAATTTCTTAAAACATACATATAACGTTATGCTAATATATTTTATATAATATATATATGTATTACCAAGTTTAATTACTGCAATTCACACCTTATATTTTTATATAATATAATAACCATCACGTTGGCAAGAAAACATGAAAACTACATATACATGTGATATCCTCAAATGGTGTAACTACCTATCCTTAAAATATTGTATTATTTGTCATCATTTTTATGTGGTTGGCATGCAAAAATTTAGTATACATATCATTTATATAATTTTTATTTTATTTATTATTATTATAATTTTAATTGTATTGAGTTTAATGTGTTATATGTATATTAAGATAAATATATAATAACATTAATTGATACCCATGTTTAATTAGTAACTACATTTGAATAGTTTCATTTATTTCTTACTTATTTTATTGCCCTATACACATTTAGGCTACCCTTACCTACAATTAGACATTGGCTAACAATTAATGTTGTCTTTAGTATTATTCATTAACCAATAGTACCAGCAGTAATTTGTTCGAGCCTATGCATTCCATTTTAAAGGAGAGTTGTGAAAACTTATATAATTATGATAACTTAGGTTAGGTTATGTATACAAAAAAAAAACACTTATAAATAATTGTTGTAAATAATCATTTATTTTGCATTCTGAAAATATATACAAAAACAAATTAGAATTAGAAAATAAAAAGAACTATAAAGCCATTATTCTATAAACAATGTATTTAACAACATTTATAACTAACATGTATATTACATATATAAATATATAAATATTTTTAATATTACTCACTTCCATACCCATCGTGGCCAGCCCACAGGCCACCGACGACACAGCACTCGGGCCTCGGACCGAGTGCTGGCGCGGGGCCTGCCCCCGCTCCTCTTCATTACCACCCCGCTGGGGGGGACCTACCTCAAGCCGGGGGGGGGACGAGTCCCTTTCGGTTTTTTTGGTTCCTGCCTGCATAGTAAATAATATTTTAGATGCATTGCTTACGATCACATATATAATATACAAAAAATACACTTACAATGGCGGGCCAGGTGACCATTTTTTCGGCAATTGTAGCACCCTGAAAAAGAAAAGCGGACAACATTACTATGTATATCATTGTGTATACGTAATGACAATTGACAATATTTATGCATACTTTTGGGTGCTACAATGCCACTTTTCGTTTTTTGTTTGGTGACGGGGCTTGCAGCCACCGTCACCGTACAATTTGTGAATTTGAACATTCTACAACGAAAAATTAACATTAGTAAAGTTGTCAAAAAAAACAAAAAAAAAAAAAAAGTGAAAAATATAATAAAGTAACGTGTACTCACTTCGACTGGTCGAATGGTCGATGGCAAATAAATATAGGATTGATTCCACCGTTTAGTTTTGCCTTGCATTTTACGTATTTACCGATGTCATTACCAACACCGCGGGTCTGTCAAAATCGTTGACCAGCTTATTGAAAATAAATTAAATTAGATTTTCAACTTTTGGTATTACTGTTGTCATGTGGAGGCGGAGTAGAGGGTGAAAAGCGCAGTGGACCTGGGTCGGCTCTCCGATCCGACATCGGGCGACTTTCTTCGACGAGCGTCTGTGCTAAACGTTCGTTTTTTCGTTATTGCGTATACTACTACACAAATTTGCATTTTTTTTTCTTACCTTTTTTTTACTACCTTTTTTTTTTTTTACTACGTTTGGCGTTTTGTAGACTGGTGAGTGCTATTTTTTTTATTATTTAAAAGCTTAATTGTTCACCCCGTGTACTTATACATCATTATTATTATTATTAGCATTTGGCTCCGGCAAGCACAAAATAATAAATAAGTAAAAAAAATATATAAATTACAATAGTATAAACTAGAATAATAGTCATAGAACAAATTAAAAGACTTAGTACTAATTAAATTATATAGTTATAAAAAAGTCAAAAGAAAGCAATTAAAATTAAGAATTAAGTTTGGTAATAGTAATTTGGTAACTCATAGTTTCATTGTTTTAATTGATATTTCCTTGGTCACAGTCGCACGCCCAGTTTTTCCATCCATTCGATACCCTCCTCGCTGGCTGTGTGGATTTCCTCTATACCTCTATACATCATTACAGTCACCCAATTATTAAGACGTTACGCCTTATTTAAAAAGCGACATTCATTGTTTCCCGACCGTGCTCCCTCAAAATCCAAACTTGGTGTCTCGAAGGTGTCGCGTTTTTTTATTTGCATTTCAATGTGTGATGTCATTTCTACATTCCTTCCCGAGATCATCGGTCGGTAGTTGTTGAAATACATTCCCGTTACGTACGTCGCGCTTTTTCACCGCGACTTTTTTTTGGATTCTCTTCTTACGCTTTTGTTTTGTAATTCTGGAAAATTTCTTAAACATTGTTTTCTGTGTATATTATGCGTACCATCATTTACACACTTTTTCTAAATATAACACAAAACTCTTGGAATTCCCGTGTTGCCGTATAATCGGGCACTGATAAGTGATAACAACAGTCAATATTGTATAATAACGATATAACGACGCCCAGTGTCGTGTATGCGTAAAAGATACATATATTATATTACACTTACTTATTATTCACTATTTATTGTACATATTTTTAATAATAAAAATACAGATGTTATTTAACATGTAATATAAATTATTCACTACGTTTACAATATGCATCATATATATTATTTTCTTTAAAATGTCAAAGTCAAGGCACTTAACCATGGTTCGATTGTGTGTGATCTGCGGAAACGTCGATGGTGTTGATGGAGTTTCGTTGCACAGGTTACAATAAATTTATTAACAACTCATACCAGACTCATACTACAACTACTCATCATGTAATGCTTAAATTAGGTTTCCAGCGAATGCCGGCCGGAGACGTCAGTGGGTGTTGTTTGTCGAGAACTGTGGTATAAATGCACAACAGATTTTGGCCAACTCAAAAGTGTGCTCGAGGCATTTCGTACTAGGTCGTGATTATGAAGGAGAAACACAACATCGTCGTCGTCTCTTCTCAAGAGCGGTGCCATCTTTAGTGAGTGTATCA